TCCTTCCTATTATTGCTTATACTCTCTCTACAACAAAATTAGAGATAAGGGCAAAATAGTTTCTGCTGGGTATTGAGGGGGTGGGGGTGAGAGGGAGGGGGTGGAGTGGGTGGTAAGGGAGGGGATGGGGGCAGGGGGGAGAAATGACCCAAGCATTGCATGCACATATGAATAATAAAACAATAAAAATTAAATAAAAAAGAATCTTAATAGAAAAGGAAAAAAAAAAAAAAAAAGAACCTGGTGTCTGTAACTTCTGGAGCACTCTGGAGCACTCCTGCTCCTTGGTTCTGTTTGCTGGTTTACTTTGATTTTTTAAAGCCCTGAGTGACCAGTGTCCTGGTGAAATATTTGCTGTTGTAAAGGAGCTGTCTCTCACTTCAAATGAACAATGGGGTTGAAGGGAGACAGGTGGAAATTGGGGCTGTTCCATCCCAGACGCTTTCACTTACAACTTGACCTTGAACCCTATCCACAGCCTCACTCCTTCACATAAATTATAAGTTTAGCTACCACAGCAGAGGACAGGAGACTCCAGAAAACACCAGGTAGGGGTTCAGAGTGAAACCAGACAAAGATGGGGCAGAGACGAGGCCAGGGCTCTAAGTACAGATGGTCCCACCAGAGCTTCTGAAGGCTCGGGAAGGAGTCTTAACAGCAAGAACAGGATTGTGCAGGCCTCCGCATCTTCCCCGAATCTCTCCTGGCTGGAGGCTGGCATTGGTTCAGAGAAACATCAGGGAGCAATGCAGACGGTGCCCTTGACGGGAACTGAGTTTCGAGGAAAATCTGCAGTGAACCCTCTCGCTGTGGGCTCTGGAAGCAAGCTATTTTTAGAGGAATTGGCTCTGATACGCACGAGGAGACCAGCACACATTTCTCTGAGCTGCTTTGGTTTTGCAAAAAATCTCAGAGACTCTGCCAGACTGCTTTGCGTGAGAGAAAGGTGTCCCTTCCAAATCTTGGGGATGCAGAACCTCTCCCAAGGTTGAAGCCATTTTAAAGATTGCTAATAGCTGAGGATGGAGATGAGGGAGCAGAGAGCCTGCGAGGGCAGCACGCATTGCTAAAGGGGAGGTGATGAATCTACACTACACAGGTGGCCGTGCCAAGAAGTGGGGTTCTTTACATTAAGAGGAAAAGGTGAAGTGCAGATGTCTTTGGGATGACATATCAGACTCTTGCTCTGGGGCGTATCCTGCTGTTCCAGCTCCCTGCTCCCAGGGCTGAGGGGGTGTGGCTCAAGTGGTAGAGGCCCTGCCTAGCATGTGCAAGGCCCTGAGTTCCAGTCCTAGTACCAACTCTCATCTTTTCCTTGCCTTTCCACCCACCTGCTGGCATTCTCCTACTTCCAAGAGGACTTGTTTTTGCTGCTTCAGAGACTTTAAGGCCAACACAAAGGTCCTCAGGCCCAGGCTTTGTTGCTGTTAGGAACAACTTGCCTGCCCCCAAGTTTTCTCTTACACATTGCCCCTAGAACGGCCCTTCCCAGCCATGCCATGGAGACCGGCATCATCTGCTTTGATTTCTCAGCTTCATTTCATCAGAGGAGAATGAGGCCAGGCGCAGCGAGAGAAGTCCTGTGCCATCCATCTGGTCGACCATGGGTGCCCAATAAGCAGAGGCAGCCTCATTACCATGTCTGCATACATTTGCATGAAGATGAGCTGCTCCCAGGTCCAAGCCATACTGCATGTGGCTAGCCTCCTTCTGCTCTCTCAACCAACCCTTGAAAGAACTGACCTGTCTTTATGGGACAGCTCTTAAGATACGGCTTCTTTCCTTTCTTTCTTCCCTTCACCTTTCCTTCCTTCCCTTCCCTTCCCCTTTCTTCCCTTCACTTCCTTTCCCTTCCTTTCCCCTCCCCCCCTCTCCCTGCCTTCCTTATTTGGCAGTACTGGGGTTTGAACTCAGGGCCTCTTGCTTGCAAGGCAGGTGCTCTACCACTTGAGCTGCACCCCTAATGAAACTGGAGGTAATCATCGCAGCACTTCTGGTTGTAAAATAACAACGATCATTGCTAACCTAGTGTAGCCACACGCCAGACACAATGTCAAGTGTTTTACAGCACACACCACTTCACTCTCCCATGACCCACTGACAGAGAACCACTGGCCTCTGTATTTCAGGTCAGGAAACCAAGGCTCAGAAAAGTTCTTTGCCAGTGGCCACAAGGCAGGCCTACGCCAGCACCTGGGCCTGCCCGAGTCTATGGTTTTCACTCTTAACTACCTGGTAGTTGTCTTATTTTTGGAAACAGTCTAGCTAGACTTTTAGATTTTACAGGCTAGGTGGTGATATATTATTTGTTTTTGCGAATTAAGGTAATCTGTATGTGTGCATATTACATATTTAACACAGATTTATAATTATATCATTAATTACACACATATAACCCACACATACTCTGCCTCCAGCACCATCATTTTGTAAAAATAAAGGCTATTTTTGATAAGAATGATAATGAAGAACTCCAGTAACTTGAAGAACACTGCTCGAAATGATATTTTTGCTCAGTGGAAAACTTATCATAGTGTTCTCGACTCTCACTTTACCTGACACTGGGAAAAACTCAGTAGTAATCACACAGTCCCTTGGCAATTACCACAATAGCTCGTCAATGACTGTTTTGAAATTCACTGTCCCGATGTGAGCCGAACCGCCCAGGTATGGTTTAGCCTGCGAAAGGTGCACTACTAATGTGGACACCTGCAGTTTCTCTCTCCTTGAAACCTGGGCTGTGTACCTGCAGGGCCCACGTTGTGGGTACAGAGATGTAAAGCAGGAGGGGAGGGTGGGTGGGCCCAGGGCTCCCAAATCAGGGCTGGAGTGGGAGATACTGGCTACAGCTTGATGATCTAGACTAGCCTCGTCCAGCAGACTGCGGTTTAGGATCCTGGCCAAGGGAAGGTCTATGGTTGCCAAGGATAGAAGATGAAATCTGGCAGAGAGAAGGAGAGAGGAGCAAGGTGGGGCAGAGAAACACAGGAGGGGTCATGGGAATCTGCACAGAGATGAGGGCTGGCAGGCGTTCAGACTGGAACACCACCTTGGGAGGGTCAGAGTCTCACCCTAACGTGGGTGGAGAGGAATGGGGAGAGGTCCTAGAAAGGAGAGCACAGGATTAACTGAGCAGAGAGAGACAGAGGTGGTAAGTGACGTGGGCAGAGAAGAAAGCAGAACAGGAAAGAAGACAGATGACAGAAGAGGAGACGAGAAGGGATGGGTGGGAGGTGGGTGGGGCTCAGAGAATTCCAGGGAGCGAGGGCTCCCCAACACTGGACAATGGCCTATGGGGAGTGTGGATAGCTACAGTGAAGCAGCAGGGTCCCCACTGCTGGGACTGGGAAGAGAAGAATGAGGGTAAAGACCACAGAGGCTGCAGCAAGCACTTCTTATCACTAGCTCCTGCCTGCAGAAAGGGTGCAGGCATGGCTGTGCCCAGTGGGAATGGGGAGGAGAGTTCTGAAGGGAATCAGAGAGAAAGTGAAGTGGATGAAGAAAGGAGAAAGTAGGACTGCACTGTAGTAAGTCATGTTTCTTCCCATCTCAATCAGGGTAAAACCATATCCCATGATCGCCCTCCTTACTTCTCTGACCTAGTCCCCTACCACCTTCCCTTTTGTTTACTCCACTCCAGCCACACTGGCTTTCTGGTGTACCAGGCACACTCTCACCTCAGGGCCTTTGACATGGTATTTCTACCCTCTACCTATTCCTCCAGATGGCTACTTGTCTTTTCTCTCACTTGTTCTCACTTTGCTTTTCTCCATAGATCGTATCACTTTCTAACATACTGTATCATTTACTTTGGTTTGGTTATTGTTTATACCCCACTCCCATGCACTGGCTATAAAGGCAGAAATTTTGTCTACTTTGTTTACTGCTGTCTTTCCAAGCACAGAACAAAGACTGCAACACAGTGGGTGCACAATAGGTACTTGCTGAGTGAATATATGAGGGAATGAGTCAATGGGAATGAATCTACTGGAATAAGTTGGGGTGAGAGGGGTGTGCACAGGGGGAGGGGGAGGAAGAGAAGGAGTGGGAGGAGGGGATGGTGAAACAGAAGTACATCTTTTATTGGAGGACTTTTATCTAGTGATGCTTTCAGTAGAAGGGCTCCATATAATGGTGTCAATAAAGCCACCTAAAGGTGAACACAGAAAATGCACACAGCTGTGGCCATTTCAAGAGTGATCTCGATCGAGGTCAATGTTGACTGACCAGAATGAGGCAATGGCTGCCTTCTAGTGTCAGAGGGAAGGGTAACAAGACTGCACGCCTCGTGGAAATTTTTGACATCTGTACATCCCATACACACACACAATCTTTTCCTTTGTTTAGAGGACAGAAATCTGATTGGAAATGAAGAACTCAGTGACCTTCTAGTGACAGCTGTACCCTCAGCTCATCATCCGTGTCCTTCCTTCCTCCTCCTCCACCATGGCCATGTTATAGAGCCCTTGTCCATGTTTCAAGCACCAGTATTTCACTTGGTTTTCATCATGACCCATGACATGCAATGCTGTAATTATCACATCCTTATAGGTGGAAAAGCTAACAAGGACAGTAATTATTTCATAGGTGGTAAGTGGGACAGCCAGAATGGGACAGTGTGACACTAGTCAGGGTTTGGTAAACATCCGGAGGAGGACCTGACAGAACATATTTTAGGTTGTGTGGGCCCAACAGCCACTGGTCAATACTGCCACACAGGAACAACCATAGACGGCAGATAAGTGAATGGATGCAAACGTGTTCCAATAAAACTTTCTTTAGAAAAATAGGTGGTGGGTGTATCTGAACTCTGTTCTTGAGTTCACGAACTTGACCATGAGCTATCACACCTGGGAAAACCCAGAAAGACAATGAAGAGAGTCCTGAGTGTTTGTAACTGTCATCTCTAACAACCAGCATGGTGATAGCCTAGCATGGGGTTGGCTGTGATGGAGAGGTGAACTCACCAGGGGGATGGAGGGGTGGCACAGGGCACTTACATTTCCACGATGCCCTCTGGCAAGTTGGCGGGGATTTCCGTCAAGCCTTTGCCTCGACAGTCCACGATGTTATTACTGCAAGTACAGGAGGAAGGGCAGGAGAGAGAGTTGGCATTGCAGGATGGAGCCTCTGAGTTGGGACCTGTGGGGCCAAAACAAAATAGTCAATTCATGTCACCATCAGGAGTCATCTAAACCTTCCCAAGGACATAGACTTACCTGACAAGCTATCTGACAAATTATCACCAATGCACATCCTCCCTCTCCTGGGAGACCTAGAAGAGATTCTGACCTTGACCTCTCTATTTCTGGGTTGTTCCACCTTCTCTTTATCTCACCATTCTGGTTTTTAATAGACAGAGGACCTCCGAGAGTCAGGCACACATGAAATGTGCCACTGGAACCCAAAAGGTCACACACTGGATCCACTGCTCTGGGTGCTCAATGTCTGTACAGTGTTCTGGTTTTTATATGGTGACTGGACGTTGAGTGAAGACACAACTCTAGTCTTTTCTCTAGTGTTTGGAAGCCAGAGGAGGTGTCACAGTAAAGAAGGTGGCAGAATTTCCCCATTTGGGGCACTGAGTTGTCAAAGTGTCAGTCCATTCACTAGCCATTTCCAAATGGCTTTTATGTCCAGGGAACACACAAATAAAACTGACCTGACTAGAGAAGGCAAAGAAGTTGCTACATGTTTTGGAGTCAGCTCTTCATTTTGTTTGAGATGAGAATCAGCGGGAATTTAAAGCAAAGTGATAGAAGCCCAAGTACATGGAACACCGGGAGTCCATTTTGAAAGCCAAACATGGACAAACATACTCATTACCAACCTAACTCAGGATTCAGAGACACAGGGAATCTTTCTGACCACTTTCTCCAGTGGTCAAATCCCAAACACAAGTAATAAATTCAAACGTTTTAAAGACACTGTAAATGTTTTCCTGCTTTGATCTCTAACTCAAAGTGGGGTAAGAATCTCAAACACGTGGCTGGTTTTCCAAATGTGGATGCTGTGATCCCAAAGGGACCCCAGCCAAGCAGCCTCCCAGGCCATGCCCCTTGCCCTTGGATCTGGCCAGAGCATGTATTTTTATGTCTGACTGGACCCCACTCTGTGCAAAGGGCCTTGGCTGAGACCAAGCCCAGCTCATCTCTGTAGAGCCCTTTCTTCCTGAACCTAGAGCTCCAGCTGTGGCTCTTGGGTGCAGATTAAATGGCAAAAACGGGACAGGTGTTCAGGGAACAGGATTTTGGGCTTGGCCCCTGTTCATAAGAGAAATTGAATCTGGAGTGAGTCTAGCTACAGTGGCTGATTCAGGCAACCTGGGGCTGGGGCAAGTCCTCATCTGGACATCAGGGTTCCAAATGAAGGGTCCCTCTCTATGTCCAATAGTGCCTGTGCCCCCAAGGGCTGACCTTTCTCTAGGAGCTCAAGGTGGTGCCTATGGTTTAATCTGGAATATTTCCCTTCTCAGGATGGGCCAGCCCACTAACCAGAGAATAGCATTACTCTTTGCCTCATATAGCCATGCAAAACCAAAATTTCCAAACGATCTCTTAGCTGAGATATTTGAGAAAATATCCTTGTCCAGGGAACAAGGACTTCAAAGTCACAGCTGATGGAGGCCGTGCTAGAGAGCTGACGATGCACACTAAACCCCAACTAGAACATGCTCCCAGAAGCAGCAGGGATACCAATGTCATTCCAAGTTAGGAATACATTTCTGAGACAACGACAACACAGAGCAAAGCCTGCAGGAGCCTCAGGTCAGGAAGGAGAGGGTGTTGTGGATGAGAAAAGTTCTGGAGTCCCACTGCAACTGGAATCTTAGTTCTACCACTTCATATTTACTTCCCTGTGCCTCATTTCCCCCATTCCCCCACCTATAAAATGAGCAAAATCAGTTTCATAGCATTTTGTTTTTTGGTGGGTCTAGGGTTTGAACTCAGGACTTCACACAAAGCAGGAGTGCTACAACTTGAGCCTCACCTCCAGCTCCATAGCACGGTTTTGTCATGAAGTCAATGCACAAAGAGTATTTAGAAGGATCCAGGCAGGTAGAGTAAGACCTTAGCAAAGCTAAGGGTCTTAGGCAAGTGACAGTACCTCTCTGAGCTTCTCTGGTACCATCTCAGTGAAAAAGGACTTAGGATCACATAGTTTCTGAAGTCTTTCTTGGCTTCAGGTCAACGCCCCCAATCTTCAGAGAGGAAGCACAGGGAGTCAGACACCTAACAGCAGTGGGTGCTCCTCCACCCCATCTCTGCTCATGGGCAGCAGAAGACCCAGTGTGGAGGGATCTCATCCCATCACCACATCCCAGGGTGCCTGGGAGCAGCTGGCATCAGAGGCATGGTTTTGAAGTGCGGATTGTATACCCAAGGAAACTGGCAGGCCTGGTCTTCCACCTCAAGGGCACCAGCTCCTGCCGAGGCCAGGGAGAATGGGTGCACCTGCACACCTTCCTGTCTGGGAAATGCCAGGGATAGGGTCTGAGCCCCCGCACTTGCATCCATTCAGGCAGAGGAACTGGATGGCAGTCCTTTTGAGCTGTCAAAATACTATTGCCTGGGGTGTGTTGAAAAAGGAGGGGAGAGGGACACCAGATTTAACTTCCCATTAGCAACAGGAAGTTAGGACACGGAGTTTTATCAGAGGTAGCCCTTCTGATGTCTATGTTAAAATAAGTCTATTCAAGTTTGCAGCCTCAAGGCCCCCTGGGAACTGGCTGGGCCTTCCACAGGGAGGCTCGGATTCTGTGGTAGTGTGAGCAACATTTCAAGGCATGTTGTCCAGGCAAAAAGCCTTTGAGAAAGATTCCTCGAGCAGGTCACTAATAACACCTTTAATCACACAGAGAGAAATGACCATAATTATAGCCTTTGTCACCACCCGGGGCTGCCAGCTCCTCAGGCGGGCATCCACATGCCCCACGGTGAGGATGTCACCTTCTCAATTAAACAAGAACACTTCAGGTTTCAGATGAGGTTGAAAGACAGATGCACTTGCTCTGGAAGCATTGCCATCTGATCAGTGCTGGATGGATCAAGTCAATTTCTCTGAGCCCCTGAGGGGATGGCAGAAGTCTCCCTTTGCTCTCTGTGTCTGGACAGACTGAGACTAGAGTTCTATAAGGGCAGTGACTTTTTTTTTTTTTTTTGGCCTTAATTACCATTATATCCTCAGTGCCTAAGACAGGGCTCGATGTAGAACATGGGCTCAATGAGCAGGTCTGGCTAGCAAGAGGATCACACGTGAGTGGAACTGGCCCAGAAGTCCAGCAGAGGTGGAGGCCAACTACATAGGGGGGCTTTCCGGTGAGGAATCCCGAGGAAAGGCTCCCTGAGTGCTGAGGGCACTGGCTGTGGCATCGGTCACTGAGTGGGGAAAGGGAGGGGTCACAGAAGATGGGAAAGAGTTCAGATCTTTCCACTACAGTTCTCTGTGCTGGCAAAGCCTGTTTGCCTAGTGCTGTGGTTTAACCAGATGTCCTGGGGGAGGGCAGAGCAGAGCTGGGGCACTAGCACTTGGGGAAGAGAGAGAGCAGGATTGTATTCCCAGCCAGACCTCTTCTTGAAGACCCTGTGGCTGCTAGCATGGGCCGTGGGCTCTAGTTCTCGGAGAGAAGAAAGGTGGCCCTTGATGACCAGGGCTGGCTCCTGCCCACCATCCCATTTTTGTTCTCTTAAAGGCAAAAGGGAGATGACTATCATGACTAAAGTGCACGGCCCTGACCTGTCTGCCCAATGACAGGACAAAAATCACGAACTTCAAACCTACACAGGCCTATGGGGACATCAAGGAATCAGAAACTGTGAAAATGGTGATTATGTGCCAGGGGCACCATGTGGCCAAGCCAAGAATATTCCCCATCCTAATAACAGCAGGTGACATTTGCTTAAAGAATACTATGTGCCCGACACTGCGACAAATGCCCGCACATGTTATCTCACTTGATCTTCATAAAAACATGATTTAGGCTCTACTGCTATCATTTCTATTATACTGAAAAGTACAAGGTCGAGGTCACAGGGCACTGCCCAAGGTCACAGGGCTATGGAACAACATTCTTCTGTCACCTCTGCCAAAAAATACCCAAAATGCCTCTCTTTACTGCCACAAAATTGGAAACCCTCAGAGCCTCGGGATCTCAGGTGGTAGGAGCAGCAGGTGCAGAGGCTGAAACGGGGATTGTGTGAGCTACACTGGAGGGCTGGACACGCCTGTGTTTCTTTCTGTCTTAGTAAGATATCGCCCAGTGGAGTGCACAGAGTAGACAATCGAATGGCCTTATGAGCATATGGAAATAAATCAATTCCAGTTTGCAAATTAAGCTCCCCCACTGGCCTCTGGCCTTCCCAAAGCCAACAACAGACCACACTGACAACAGAACTCAGCCACAATGATGAGAATATAAATGAATGTGATTTAAACAGCAGAGGCATGATAATTTTGGAAATGGCTAAATAAACTTAATAATCTCATTCCTGCAATGTTCAATTATGGGGTTTTAATTAAAACCTCCTAAGGAGATGGGTGGCTAGTTATGGCTTACCTTAATTTTGTTCATACTTAGAAACTAGTCCTAAATTAGAGAGAGAGAGAGAGAGAGAGAGAGAGAGAGAGAGAGAGAAGAAGAGAAAAGAGAGAAGAAATGAGGAAGAAGAAGCTTTGTTTCCAGGCAGGAGAATTGTTTGCGGGGAGACTGGGGGTCAAGCACTATTCTAGGCAAGTGGGTATTTGAAAAAATATAAGACACGGCCCCTCATTGCTAGAAGGCAAGAGTGATATCTTTGTGAAAAGGTGTCTCATATTCGAGGTCATGGCGCTAAGTCTGAGGTAGGAAGACAAACCAAACAGACCCAAAGACATGCAAGGGAAAGAGATGATTAATTCAGGGGTCAAATACTAAACTAATAAGCATAAATTATGAACTATGACAGGCACAAATCTTAGATTAAGTACTGGAAAGTAACCCCTGGAAAATAAATCCTAGAATTTAAACCCCAAAATAAACCCTTTTGATGAGCATTTTTTAAAAAACTAACTTTTCCTTTGGTCATTATCAGGAACCTTGATAAAATTCTAGTCTGGCCCAGGCCTCAAGAAGGAAGTGTGGCTCAAGGATTGCTCCTGTCCGTGGGTCTCAGCCTTCCCCTTGAAACAAATGAAGTTTACCAAACAAACCCTGTCAGCAGTCATCGAAGGAAGCCAGCAGGCAGCTGTATAGCCAATAATACACTCATAAAAAGTAAAATAAAGTCATATTCCCTGACCCAATTGTCTCCCAGAGGAAGAAAATAAGTGTCTTTGCCTGGAAGGGTACAGTTGACAGAGAAGATGAATTTGCTAAGTGCTTTGCCAGCAAACTTTGGGGTTAGCTGATAGTGATAAGGAGCCTGGCTTCTGGGAGAGAGGCCTGGCTCCAGACAGTTGGATTTAATTCTCAGGGAGATACCAGGGAGTTGGGTAGGCAGGCCCCCCAGGCCGAGTGAGATAAAGCTCCTTCCTATCTCTGGAGTATGTGTTTGGTGAGTTTTTCCACACCACTTAAGGCCTAGAGAGCCTCCCTCATGCTCTCTTGACAGGGACTGCTGGAGTGGAGTACCCACAGAGATGGCTCAACTGGTACCGTGTGCCTTTCCTCCTCCTGAGTGGCAATCTCTGCTTTCATAGAGAAGTCCTTGTCCCTCTGCTCTGAGGTCCCTCAGTGAGTTGCTGGAATAGCTTGAACTGGGAGCATTTGTGTTTTTGCACCTTCAAACAACCACAGCGGGTCACAGAGCAGTCTCATTCAGGCTAACTGCCTTGCTGGGGTGGGTGGGTGGCCTACATCCTTCATGTGCTGCTGTGGGGTGGTCGGCACCCATGATAACTCTTCTCTGTGCCCTTCTCCTTGGGCCTCCCAGACAGACTATGCTGATTTAACTGTATGTCCCAGATGGAGCCTTGCTCCATGCTGCCACCTCTGGCTTGCTTTTATCAGTCTCACAAACTATCTTGAACAATTATGGAGCAGGTGGCATTTCTGTGGGGTCTGCACCCCACCGATGATGGCAGTTCACTTGTCACAGATATCCACTGCACCTGTTCCCCCAGAGCACGGTAACTGATCTTCACCTTTTCAAAAGTAACCCCTTATGCCATCCTGATTTTTAACCTATGGGTGCCTTGCCCTAAATTCATGCAGGCAGAGGTTTAAAGCATATTGATGTTGGAGTCTTTGGGCTAAATTCTTACATCCTCCAGACATCTGGCTTTGTGTTAGAAGCTAGCAGGACCATCCTAATCAATGTGCTTGACTGCCATGAACAGGAAAAGTGCAAAGGACACTCCTGCGTAACTCACGGGACCTGCCTGCTGCATCCAGGCTTTCCAAGAAGGAAATTTGGGGCACTCACATTTCCAGGACCAGGAGAGACAGACTTACTACCATGGGTTTGAATCTGCCATTGGGTAAGCAACACTGTACCACTCTTGGCTGGGAAGGTGTTTTCATGACCAGGCAGTGTTTATGGTCAAACATCACCTCACCCTGGGTACCACCTATAATGATGTGTTTAATATTCTCTCCAATTAGTTTTTCTCATGAGCTCTGTAATTACTTCTTTCACTGGCTCTTATGCCGATATTGCACCCTTTGCCTAGTAATTACTGTAATTGTAGTCACTATTTTTGAATTTGGTGCCTGGGTGATAAATGGTTTTATTATATGTGCTTGATGGGAAATGATTTCTAAGTGGGCGTCTACAGGAAGTTATTGAGGTGCTCCTCTGTGGCATGCTGAAATGTTTCTGGGGCAAGAAAAATGTGAAGTAATAGCATGACAGGAGGAGGACGCAGACAGCGAGATTAAGCTGAATTCAAGGAAATCTGTGCATTATGCAAAGGCAGCCTAAGAGCAGAGTGGGGTGAGTCTGTACCCCTGGCTGAACTGGGGCCTGGGAGCACAGACTGGACTCCATAAGCCCTTGGTACTCAAAGTGAGCACCAGCTAAGAAGGGCAAGGAGAACTGTATGGTCAGCCCCCTGTGCACACCAGCTTGCCATACTAGGCCGTTACAGGCCCTGGACTCCAAGTCCAGGACTGGGTTCCTGGGAATGTAGCCACCTCTTCAACTGAACATTTCCTTTTTCCTTTCCTCTCCTGTCTCCCACTTCCTTTTCCTTCCCTTTCCATTTCTATTTTGGCTAGCTCTACTGTTTTGCCAGAAAAGAGAGAAATTCATGGAAGTATAGGATGTGAAAGAAAAGTAAGAACAAGCAGAATTTGGGGTGTTTTAAAAGATCTGTTCCCTGGGAAGATCTTGGCCACCTTTCCTCCCCAGAGAGGTATGTGTCTGTATGGTTTGGTTTTGTGTGCCACAGCTTGCCTTGATTGTTCTGGGGCTAAACAGAACATAATTCATGAGTTCCTAGCATTTTCCATTTCTGATGCCCAGCGCAGAGACCCTTCTATAAAACCCTTAGAAACTCTAGGTGTTTACCACCGAGTAATGGAGGCTACCTGTGTGATTCCTTGCACTCCAAGCTGTGGACTGGGATGCCAGGGTCATAATGAGAAGAGCTCCTGGGTAGGTGAGTCCTAGCCCAGGAGGGGAGAGCAGGTGGGGCAGCCTCACCTGGACACACGTACTCCTTCTTCTGCACGTCTGCCACGTTGAAACCCCTCAGGTGCACGGGAGCCATGCAGAGTGTGAACTGGCCGACGGTTCGCCTCTGTCGCAGCCAATCTGAGAGCCAGGCCAGGTGGCAGTCACAGTACAGGTGGTTGGAATGGAGGCGCCTGGGAGGAGAGATGGAGGGAAGATGCTGTCACCAGGTGGAGCGAGGAGGCTGCCCATGGCTGAGCAGTGTTGCCTTGTCTGCCAGCCTTACGACTCTTACAGTGGGTTGAGCTTTGCCTTCCACGCTCCTGAAAAACAGAAGCCTCAGCCCTTTTACTGCCAAGCCACAAACTATCTTCCCATGTAGGCCAGAGCCAATGGATGCCCTTGAGGTTCTGAGCAATTTTCATTTCTCAACAGTAATTTCATTCTCTTCTTTCCCATGTGATCAAGACTCAGCACACAGGAGAGGGAGAGTGGCATTAGTATAGAGACGGTTGGAAAGGGGCAGCTCTGCACATTTCAGTGCATTAGCTAGCAGGAGATACAGCTGGCTTCAAACATGCCCCGTGATCTCAATGTCCCTGTGTACAGTGACAGTGTGGCTGAGATCTGCTGCTGCCTTTATCTGTTGGCTCTCCTTCGTTCCCTGAGTGTCATTTATGAGCCCACTGTACAAAATGAGGAAGGGCCTAAAACCCAGTGTCACCATGCACACCAGTCAGGTGAGAAGGGCACAGAGAGAAGGCACTTTCTGACGGATGTGCCTTCTCTTCATCCTCAAACTTAAATAAGGTGTTCAGACTGGACTCGTGCCCTCCACAGCCACCTCACAATGGTGCCTTCCTCTCCTTGTCAAGTTCAAGTTCACCTAGTGCATTAGCTATTCTAACCACTTGAGGTGCCTATGAAAAGATTTTCTAAGCAGTTCCAGGACGCTGGCTTTCCTCCTCTGGGAATTGTGATTCCAGACCAATTTCTTGCCCTTGAGTGAACAGGATTCCCTGGAGGGCTCTGCCTGTTCCATTTGAGATGGAAGCCCGGCTGGTTAAGTGACTTGAATTTCCTTTCTGTGAGCTGGAAGACAAACTCAGGCTTTCTAGGGGCTTTTAAAGGGTCCTCAAGGACCCTCTACCAGGATTTCCACCTTCCATGTTCCCTGCAGTCCTAAGTCATTGCAAGTGGTGGTGGGTGAGTTTTAGTCCCATTGAACTTGGGTTTCAGATGTAAATTTCAAGTAGGCAACCCTGGACGTGCTAACCAGCTAGCAGCTGTCTTGGGACTGTCAAGTGCTGTGTCAAGCCTGTTAATACTGAGTGGCAGCCTGAAGGAGTGGCTGGGGCTACCTCGGTGACTGTGACGGGAGAGCTGAAGAGCCCTAGACCACACTCCACTTAGCGCAATGTCAACACTGCCAAACGCTGGCCATTGCAGCTGACTCAGGCTGTGTGCTGGCACAGTCTTCCTGCCACGGATGGGCACAGAGCTCCACAGCGCCAGGGCCACCGGGGACTAGGCTGTCCCTGGTCCCATCATCTCAGACAGGTGATATGAATCCAGATCTCACAGAAGATGTAATTTTTTTCTGATAAAATATTTGTAGATGATTTTATGATTTTGCTTTAGAAATCACTAATCTTGATGTAATTTTCCTTTCGTATATCACAGTGAGTCAAATATACTTTCAGAAGCTCCTATGACAAAGATACAGCTACCATATGGGACTTAGGATGTTTTCTCCTTTAGTTGCAAAGCTCAGACCCCTGAGCAAAAGCAAGGATGGCCCCCTTTTAGCCTAGATTCTGGAAACAGGTGCAACAGTTGAGAAGGGGGTGGGCGGTCAAAGTCCTAAGCTGGTGGGAAGGAGGTCAATTCTAGGAGGGAAGCAAGACCTCTGTTTACTCCATAAATGTGATCACTTTGTGCCAAGAGCTTGACAGTGTACCTCCAGCTGGTTGCAATTTCCTAGAAAGCAGGAGGGAGAGGAGGGGATCCCATGACCAGTCAGCTCCCAGCAGGTGTAAGTGTTCCCTGGGCAAATGGCCACAGTGGGTCTACCCAGAGCCAAGGTGAACCCGCCGCAGGCTGCAGTGCACCGCAGGCTGAGGTGATGGAGTTCCTTTGTGTGCCAGGAGAGTCAGCCATTTCGTTAGCTTGGCTTTTATGTGGAAAGGCAATTGTCCCATTTGGCAGGGAGCTGTGGACATTAAGACAACAGGGATGACTGCAGGACTTGGGTCTCTGAGGTGGATAAATGAGAGCAAGTTCCTCTCAGTTCCAACAGTGGGTAACAGATCAACAGAGCAACAAAAATGTGGTTTAGTAAGCCAGGTCCTTATGAGCTGGTGAGTTTCCAGGATGACCAAAAGGCTAGAGGTTTCTTTTTTGAAGATTTTCATAGGTTGGTTCTTTCTCAATCCTGGCTGGACAGCCCAAAGCTTCCTCAATTCCTAACCTCAAAACAGATATTCCTATCCTTTTGTCTATCTTTCAAGGACTCCCCCAACCCCTGCTCAAGAAAAGTAGTGACACAAACTTAGGTGGAAACCACAAAAGCCCAGGACAGGGGGCAGCTTGGTCCCCTCCTCTAGGAATTTTATTCACCAGAAATGTTCCAAGAATGGAGCCGGACAGATTCTTTCAAGTCACATAATGAATGGGAGATCAAATTGATCCAACTATCCTAGATAGTAACTATTATTAAAAGAAAAATAATCAAGATGACCATGAAACTTGAGCTTGGACTTTTGCTAGAAGAATTTCTAAATTATTGCAATTGCTTTCTATAATTTTGGTGAGTTGTGATGGGGATGACCTGGGGTGTGGTGGCGGCCACTGTCTTTCCCATTGGGCATGGGAAAGCTCTGGTCTCTTCTTCCTCTGTCACTTGGCACCTGCTCTTTTGCTTTTGTTTTGATTGACTGGTGAGAACTCAGGCTCTGACATCAAATTACCCAAGTCTGACATTGCCTTTGTGTTTTCTGACTTTGACTTTGGGCAGTGATTTAACTCAAGATTTCACTGTCATCATCTGTAAAATGAAGAGGATCATGGTACTTCTTTCCTAGGACAGGTTTTTGGTGTTCCTCAGGTTTGAAGTCAGGGCTTTGCACTTGTTAGGCAGGTGCTCTACTACTTGAGCCATGCCTCCAGACCTTTTGCTCTAATTATTTTGGAAATACAGTCTTTCTTTTTGCCTAGACTTGACTGGAACCAAGATCCTCCCATTTGTGCTTCCTGCTGCTGCTGGAATGATAGGTGTGTGCTACCACACCCAACTTTTTCCCATTGAGATGGGGTCTTGGTAAGTTTTTACCCCTGGACTGACCTGGAACTATAATCATCCTGATTTTAGCTTCCTGCATAGCTTGGGATGACAGGTGCATACCACTGCATCCAGATATTGGTTGAGATGGGGTCTCATGAACCCCCTGCCCAAGCTGGCCTCAAACTGTGACCCTCTCAATCTTGGTCTCCCAAGTAGCTAAGATTACAGGCATGAGTCACCAGTACCTGGCTCCTAGGACTGCTTTGAGAATTGATATGATTCATGGGAACTATTGAGCACAAGGCCCAGCGCCTGGTAAACCGTGAAGAAATATGTGCTCTTACTAAGATTCAGAGAAGACTAGAATAGACTTCCATCTCTTACCAATCCATGGCCCTGAGCATCCTAGGCTCTAGTCGTTTGTTTAGACACCAAGACATCTAGGTGGCTAAGTGGTCCCTGCACGTTATTCTGTAATATTTTGCCAACGAACACATCAAATTCCACGTTGATGAAACCACCTTTACAGAACCCAAGGTGAATGAATACAAATGCCAATTTACTAAAGGTGCCTTTTAGCCACAGAGGCTAAATTAAATTTACAGCAAATCCTTTTAGAGAGGGTCAGCATTCGTTTTCTATAAAATGTGGCTTTCTGAGTTCAATATAAAAGTGTTCCTTTGGAAATCCCATTTATGACTTCCTTCCTCTCTCCTCCCCCTTCCTTCTTCACCACTACCAGTCCCGTCCTTTCCCAACAAGCACTTTAATTACAGTGAAGGGGGATTAGTCAGTTCATCTCCAGGGAGTTCTATCCAGAGCCATCTCTGAAATTAAACTAAAGAGAAAATGGCAGCCGGCAGGGAGCAAAGGGAGCAGACAGATTGATTGATTGATCTGAACTCATCAGATGAATGTTCAGGGCCATGGGGAGGAATGACAGAAACAAGGAGATAAGCTCTTCTGCCTCCTCCCACTCCCACCTCAGACAAGGCACCCACTATCTGAGCCTGGCAATCTCCCCTCAGCTTCCATGGACCCAGCCTTGCCAGTCCTAAACTGAAAAGATCCCAGAAGCGTAAGTCACAGGGGACGTCTACAGGACTCGGGTGAGTGTGACTTTCCCTTTGTGCCCGCACTAGTGTGGGTGAAGCAGTGCAGGCTCACTTTGGCCTCCTGCCTGGAACCTGGGCCACACACTTCCACAGCTCAACTGTGGTTGGCTGGGGGCTTCGAAGAGGTCTTTGAAGACCAAATGACTTCTTAAAATTCTATGAATGAACCATCCCACTTTGGGGGCGGGGGGGAAGGACGGAGTCTCCTAGTTGGGTTATGTTATCATCTGAGGAATTCAAGGAAAAAAATGATGATCAGAGATGGAAGCTGGGTTGCACCATCATTCTTTATAGAAATGAGTATTTGCTGTTTGTACACCTTGCACCAGGCACTTCACATGCCAAAGAGCACTGTGAATGACTGACTATAAGACAAGTGTTATATTAACTCGCTTTCTTTGAGGTACAGAGAAATAAAGAAATGGGCCCAAAGTGAGTGTCAGGGCTTGCATAGAAACCCCAGTCTGCCTGCCTCTGAGCTGTCTTCCTCAGGGTGCCCTGCACCACTTCCTTATAAACTGCTTCATTTGCCTTAGCTTTCGCTTATCTGTAGATAAGGCCATTTTCTCACAAAGGCACTGGCTCTCAAACTACAAGCACAAAAATCTCCTGGAGGACTTGGTGAAAGCAGATTACTCATCACCCCCCTCACCCCAGCAGTTCTGAGTCCCCGGATCTGGGGTGAAGCCCAGGGATTTGCTTTTCTAACAAGTCCCAGGTGATGCTGACACTGTTAGTCTAAGGAACCTTGCTCTGAAAACCATTGCTCTAAAGATTTTCGGATCTCATGGATTCCACGTTGCTTGGTGGGGTGGAGAGGGATAGATAAGTTTGTAATGTTCAGTCCATATTCGGGATAACTAGTGGTGGTGCTAACATGATAAACAGCATCGCTTATTATCAGGCACATATCTGCACTGCATATGCCTAATTTCATCTCATCACCACCCCTGTTTATAGAGACCAAGGTCACAGAACCAATAATGGATGAGGCAGGAATTCTAGCTCTTTGCTTTGGTCTCAGAAGCTGGACCTTTGCCACTACTGCAATTCAAATGCCACCGAGGTGCCACCAGCATGTAGCATGTTTTTGGAAAGGCCCACAGAGACTTTGTGCAGAGAAACCTACAGGGGCTTCCTGATTGAGAGTTGACGGGAGCTGGGAGCCAGCACAATGAGGGCCAGTAGAGCTGCTCTCGGTTCTGGGGTCCCAGGGAGGTTTCCTTCCTGAGCACACACCCTGCAGGACCTAAGCCCATCCAAGACATTAAACTAAAGAATGGAGATATGTACCAGAATGTCATCCAGGGAGCAGGGGGCAGGGGAATGTGGAGAGTGGGACCTTGGTGGGATGCAGAGAGGGACAGGCTTCCTTTCATCCATCCAGAGGGGAAAAACAATTCTGAACACTGCAGTATGACAGGACTGTCGGCGGTACACGACCTCAGCCAATGGCGAAACATCACATCCGGTTCTGTATGTTCTCTGACATCTTAAAGCTAACAAGTTTTTCTATCAAAGCAAACAAAGACGGAGACTCTTCCCACAGCCCCAGGATGACAAGAAGTTTGTCTGCCTGGTACAGAACTGAGATTCGGAAGCACGAACGGCACCATGACACGGTCCTGTATCTGCCCTGTCTATCCAGCTCACCCCTCGGTTAACAGCAAGGGACATTTGAATGCAGGCACCACTGCTCATAGCCTGGTAGGTTTTACAGGCAGCTCTGAGCTGCACCTTGGGCTGCACAGCTGGGCGTCCGAGGGGAGGAAGTTGGACCTTTACTCACAGAGTCCGAATCTTCGGCATGTGGTTGAAGCTGGTGACCAGGATACGGCTGATGTTGTTGTTGTTGAGGGTGCTGAGAAGACAGAGAAAGGAAATGGTCAGCAAGGAGCCACATGGGGGGGCACCAAGATGTTTCCAGAAGGTGTGAGGAGGGACAGGTGTGACTGCAAAGAGACCACAAATCAACAGCTACAATCCAATCACAGGGAAGCTGGAGACATGTGGCCAAGTGTCCAGATGATGAGGGACACCAGTGACCATCCCTCATGGGAGTCATCTCCTTGGCTGCCCTTAGGTATTGGTTTATCCACCTTGAGTCATACTCTTCCTGAAATCCTATGTGCTGAGTGCTTTGTTATAACGTCTATAATCCTTATGACGGCCGTGCCAGGTACATGCTAATGTCCTTTTAAGAAAAGGGAAACAGACACATGTCCTTTTGTTTAGTCACACACAACCCCACAAAGTAGATGCTATGTGTGTGTTACAGCCTGAGCTACAGAGAGGGAAGGTAAGCTGTAGCTGCTGAGCCCTTTCTGCTTGTTCATTGTACACAGCGCCCTGTCCATGATGCTATCTGGATAGGTTAATCTGTTTTCTGGTCTTGTTCTGACCCTTCAAGTGCATCTTATCTCAAGAGGGACTAAGAATCCTTTTTCTTGTTCATCTCCACGACCGTGGATGGAGCTCCTATGGTGTGCTTACACTCCCCGGCACTTGGTACAGGACAAAACAAAGAGAAAGGAGTGAGCTCCAAGTAGACAGGACAGACAAGGCTGCTAAAGAGTGAAGTCAGGCTCTAGCAAGCACCACTCAGGCTTACCTGCTAGAGGGACCTCTTGTGGAAGCCCAGGGGAACATGGCAGCAGGGAAGGCCATCTGCCAGGGCCTTTTCAGGTCATCTAGTTTAGCGACTTCCCCACAGGGAGGCAGCAACACCTGGGAAGACTGGATCTGGTTCTCAGCTCTCTAACTTCACACCTGGCTCACTTTACATCCCCAAAAGCAAGAGCACGACACAGCCATTGGTACATCCTTTGTGGTGGCCTCTTTCTCCTGTGTCCTCTTCCTTGCTCCTCCCAGGACCACATCAGCTATCCTCTTCTCATCCACCCAACTTCTCTCATCCTTTCCTGGGCCTCCACAGTTCCCACCAGCTCAGGAGGAAACCTTCATTAGTCTGGCCAACATCTGCCATGGGTTGTTAGAAATGTATCACTTTCCTTTTCAAGTGACCTCTCCCTTGTGAGCTCTGACCAGGCAGAGTCCTTTCTGTGTTGTGCATTATGACAGTCCCTAACCTGGTCCACACGGGGTTCAATCACATCTTCCTGCTCCCTTATTGTGTGGTCTTGGGCAAGTTATTGACAGCTGTTATCCATGGATTCTCTTCTGCGTGGAAGGAGGCATGCAGTGGTACCCACCTCACAGGCTGGTGAAAGGATAACCATGTGTTATGTGCTCGGTAAACAGAGTTCGTTCGACTGACTTTGGTGAGCAGAATCTAGTCTCAGCCTATCATTTCTCTTCCCCACCCCAAGCTCCATGGAAGCTGAAACACCTTCATCCAGCAATAGTAGCTCCCCCAGGTCCACCATGGGATCCTAGTCCAAAGCAGGAGTCCAGTGGTTGCATCTCTCCATCCCCGGCCTATTCCTCAGATCCCACTGGTTTACTGGGGATTTGGCTTGGCCCATAATGCCGGGAGGAATTCTGCTTCCATAGAGGCACAGAACCCGATTCCTGCCCTTCCGTCCAATATTCACTGCGCACTCACCATGTGGCTGAACCTATGCGAGGCACACAGTCGGGGAGGAACAGCTCTCATGTACGTGGACTGAGCTGCCCTCCTCCGCCATCACTGTAATCTTAAATCAGTGCCCATACTTGTTGAACCTTCTTAGTTGTTTTGTTTTGTATGGCTCAGGTTCTCTCTCTCTCTCTGTGTCTCTCTCTCTGTCTCTCTTCATCCCTCCCTCTCCAACCTGTCTCTGTCCACCCAGGAAGCCCTTGGAGTATCTCCTCAGACAATGGGGAAGAGTTTGTCACTCCCATTTGATCAGGACAGCCTGCTGACTGAGACAATGCCTTCATCCCTTCCATCCATCTCAAAATTCTAGGCTGCACACTTAGAGGAATATATAAGTTTGTTGACTAATTACAAAACCTCTGAGCATCTCCTAAGCTCTCAAAGTCAAAGAGGAGGAAGCCTTGGCAAAGAAGGGGCTTCCTTCTGACCAGGACCAGCCACTCACCATCAGGTGCAGTTCACAGCTTAGCCCTCCACTTAGCTGAATATACAGGGATTCAACTAGAAGTGTACCCGGCAGTAGTCCAGCAATGCTGACTTATTAATGTATTACTATACTGATATTTAACTGTGAGCTGTAATGAGAGCTATAAAACATTTACGATAATAGCAATTATTCCAGAACCCAAATGACTAAACACAGTTTTCAGACTTTCATGATTTGCTGCTTGGGGCGAGCCGGCCCAGGGATGTCAGAGGGCTGCTGACCTCTTACGCACTCTCTCTTAGCAAGCCACAGTTGCTGTCTCACCGAGAAACAGGCTTGTTTGATTTGCAGTCTGGGCAGCTTTTGCCTGTGCAGAGAGCACCGTGCTCTGTCTGGTTCTTGTGTACCACCCTAAGCAGCTGGTGCTCCATTCCTGATTCAGAGGAACAAAGCGAGTGAACATGGGTCTCAAAGGCGGAGAGCCGGTTTGGAGTCCAGCTCTGCTGCATCGAGCCCATGTCACTATGGGGAACATCCCTAATCCCCTTTATAACGTGAAAGTAACATCAGCATCCATCTCACAGAACTTGAGTAGCATGATACGAATGTCGGTTAACGTTAACTGAGCATTCTTTATACACCGGGCAGGTTCTGGGCAAAGGTACTATGTCATACCACCCCAATTTCATGGACGAAGCATGTGAGGGTGCCAAGATTTGAATCCAAGCAAGCCTGACTCCAGAAGTGAGGTCTATGTTAGTTTCATTTTGCTGCTGAACACATGAGCCTGATTTAGGGGCTGTGACTTGTTCTCTTACAGTCCAGAGTGGGTTCATCGAGCTACTTCTTTGGGGGCTTCAGGGGAAGAATTTGTTACCTTGCCTTTTGCAGCTTGTAGAGGTCACCCACATCCCTTGGCTCATGGCCCCATTTTTGAGCCACTCCAACTGCTTGTGACCTCCTGCTGTTATGGACTCTGGTGATTACATTTATGGCTCCCCATAGTCCAGGATAATCTCCCCCTCTCAAGATGCTTAATTTAGTCATATCTTCAAAGTCCCTTCTTTATCCCTTTCCCTTCCTCCCTCCCCCGCCTCTCCTCTCCTCGCTTCTCTTCTCCTCTCCCTCTTTCTCTCTACCACTGAGCTACATCGCCACTCCTTTGATATCTTTTGAGACAGAGCCTCACTCTGTAGCCCAGGATAACCTTGAACTCACAATCTTCCTGCCTCAGCCTCCTGAGTGCTGGGATTACAGGAGTGAGCCACCACACCTAGCTGTAAATACTCTTAACTCATCATTTCCCATTGAGTTTCAAGTTCAAGTTCAGGGTTAAATGAATTCTGTGAATCTCAGGACTGCCCAGCCCCCTTTCTTTTGGACAATCACAGGCTATTGAATGGGCATTTCAGCCCAAATTAGAAATAAAACCATATCCCTTCCCCATGGGGATGAAACGATAGCCTACGCCCCTTCCGTTGCTCTCTTATAATGTCTGTGCCCATTATGAATACGGAATTAATATTGAGGCTAAATTTGACTCGTATTGTCCACTTGATCTTGGCTTTGAAAACTGATAATTTCCCCACATTAAATTGATCCATTTGGACAAGTCCACTCCTACCAATGGATCCCACTGTCTCTTGATTGTGAGTGCTAGAAAGGGTAGATTAAATTTTTATTTCCCAGGACACTAAGGATTAGTGAGCTAATCGTTGCTCCCCTAGAGGATAGACAGAATGTTTGTGCCTTGAAAGAATTTGTGCTTCCTGCTCTTTCTAAACTAAATACTGGGGAGCCAGGGCTCCCCACTGATAAGGAATGCATGAGCAAGTGGTGTGCATGACGTCAGCTCCAGGGGTTGGCAAACAATGCCACAGGGCACATCCCATCCCATGAAGCTGGTTTTCATCAATAAAGCTTTACTCATTCATTTCTGTACTGCTTATGGCTGCTTTTCTGTGACAAGGGCTGAAGAGTTACACTAGTGACCATATGGCCTGTGAAACCTAAAATATTTACTAGCTGGCTTTTTATAGGAAATATTGATAGGTCCAAGGCTGCTCTACAACCTGGCCATTCTGGTCCCACCTTTGCCAGTGAGTAAGTGCTGTCAATCATAATTGTTCTTCCAGAAGAGGGTAAGAGGCTTTCGAAACTTTTAAAAATAAATACACAGATGAGTAAAACTCCCCCCGACATTTTCGGGAACCCCCATGTGGGATTAGCGGAGCTGGGATTCAAAAGAAGGCAGGTGAATTCTAGAAAAAAACATTCCTAGCCACTATGCCACCCTGTTCCCCTCTTGGAAGATGACCCACTGCTTCTATAACCCGCTGCACTGAGATGGAACAAGAGCCAGCACCAGAGATCACACACGTGACTCCGTGCTGGGTTGGGTGTGCAATGAACTTGGCCAGTGATTCTCAAAGTGTAGTCTCCAGAACCACAGCAACCCCTGAGAATCTGTTAACGGATGCATATTCTCTGGCCCCACCCAGACCTCCTGAGTCACCCTGGGGTGGGCCCAGTTTTGGGAACCCCCACCAGAGGACCCTCATGCAAGCTTACATTTGAAAACCACTAGAACTAGAGAAAAAGCTATGAACAAAATCTCTCCTAAGTGTAAAAGGCAGTATATAGGATGTCCTCTGGTAGGATCAAAGACCTCTTGGTTGGAATATATGGTGTTTTCCCATTTTGGAGGAGGCTCAAGCCTGAAATCAGCTTTGGAGAGCTCTGATGTGGCTTCTGATTCCAGCCCTTCACCGGTCTCTGCTGAGTGCTCCGTGTAACTCTCTCCTGTATCACTCAAGATAGCCATCTTTGATCTGAA